TAGAAATGATGTGTCAAAGACTACCCCTGCATATCACCGCGCGGACCCTGACATTCACACAAGGAAAACGGCTCTCGCGCCAATTCTGTCGTTTGTAGGACGTGTGGAAGAAGCGGAAGCTAATGACATCACTTTTGCGTTTCACACAACTTCTACAAATGTTTGCGAACAGCTTTTTGTGGAAAATCAGGGAAAATCAGGGAAAACCCTGAGTTCCACACAAGAGTTCCTGAACTATGTAAGCGCGCTCTCGTACGGTGAGATCAAGTTTCACATTTCACATATGTGAAAGTTTGCGAACAGGCTGTTAGTTGATTGTGGAATTGTGGGATAACTAGTAGCCGTGGCGCAGTACGCCGTGTGAGGCCTGTGAGGCCTGTGAGGGGCCACTGAGTACTGACTGCCAGTTGCTTGGCAGCTGCCAGCGGAGCCTCCAAGCCAGGCTGACATCCAGGCGGCATGTGTTCCTGCGCACAATCACACACAATTGCTTCCGCCCCATCCTAACCATCACCCAATACTCAAATCTCATGCCTTTGAATACGATGCTCATCTCAAATCCCCTCTTCTTCCGTGATTTCAGCTCTCGTGTCCGAGGGCACAGGGTTTGTCTCAAAAAAGTCCCGTAGTCTCTTTCCCATCCCTCTGCTCGCGTGCCTCCTTCTGTTGAAATCTCCCAGGAGGCTCAAGGGACAACAAGGGGATTTTTCCGTGCCTTGACGTCACTCTAAGTTTTAAATACCAGATGCCGCGCGGTGCTTGGTGTCGGTCTAGTAAGGGTGAAGGGAGGAGGCCATGGGGGCATCCATGGCAGTCCCTGTGATCCTGTGAGGCCCGACACAACCCTATTCGGGCCCCAGGTGCCCCAGCCCCATGCTGGCCCTCTTTCCCCATGCCCCAGGCGTGCTGCTGCCAAGGGCCGTTGTTTGCTGGGTCGCAGGCACGAGCCATGCCCACCAATCTCGCCATCTGCAGTTCTCCCGATCTCCAATCTCCCAATCTCCCCCTCCCTCCTCCGTCTTCTACTCCAGTCCAGACCACCACTGCTCGTTTCTCACTAACACCTTCTATGACGCCGCGGCGCATTTCTCTTTCTCTCTCTCTCTCTCTCTCTCCGTCTCTCCATCTCCAAGTCTCCACGTCTCCCCCCCCTTTCTCCGCCGTCTCCGCTCCCCGTCTGTCCGTCAAAGCCCCGGCCCATAGCACAACGGTATGCGCGCATTATCCGCGTATCCGCCAGTTCCTGGCCGTCAGGCCGTCAGGCCGTCAGGCCGTCAGGCCGTCAGGCCGTCAGGCCGTCAGACCTGCTGACTACTCACTACGGAAAGTTTCAGGCTGCGGTAATGCCAACCCCGGTCTCCTAACGGGGCCACGTCGGCCGAGCCTGCTGCCCCACAACACGTGTCCGGAGCCCACTTGCACTTGGTGCTTGGACTTGCACCCGCTTTTTAGTCCTAGGCCCACGTCGTCCCGTCGTCCCGACGCGTCGTGACTGTGACCACCTGTCGTGACGGGACGCAATTCCGGGGTGCCAACTAATTGCACCGTAACGCGTAGCGTTCGTATCGCGTCGCCTTGTCAGTCAGCCTCATCAGCCTCACCCAGCCTAGGCAGCCTCACCACCACCCAGTCAGCCAGCCACGCCGTCATGCGCCACCGCCACGTCTCACGGCTCAATCCGCAGGGCTTCACGTCAGCCGCTCGTCTCGTCGTTCGTCGCCGTCGCTAACCAAATCCAGCGTAGCGTATCGGTGGCTGGATCTGGCGTGAGACTGGCAAGCTCACCGCAACACGTGCACCTTCCTTCGGCTCTAGACGCAGTGGAAGATTCGAGGAAGATTCGGCTCTGTCGCGAGCGCTCGAGCTGCGCGATCTCGCGAGCGCTTGGCCATGCCAGTATCTCGGGTGATCCGAAGTACCAAAGTACGCCGTCGAGTGGGCACGAGGCAGCTGCAGCAACTCCACTAGATCCACTGCACTGCTAACACTGCCCCGCCACCCGCACGCCAGCACCAGCAGTGCCCCGCCACGCACGCACGCACGCAACGAGCACGCCAACACCAGCCCGCCAGCACGCCAGCACTGCCCGCCCACGCACGCCACGCACGCCAACATCGGCTCGCTAGCGAGCACCTTCCGCACGAATGCGCCTACTCGGCCTCTGTTCCGCACCGCACCGCACGTGCAACTAAGCGCCGCCGCGGTCGCTGCGTGGACTTACGGCCGACGGTTATTCGCGGATGTAAAGAGTCCCACGCCATATACGCCCTGCGCCGCCATAGCGCCGCCATACACCCTATCTCCTCCCTCCTACGCTGCTGCTGCGACGCTGCTACGCACCGTTCCCCCCGCCTAACTACGAGGGCTTCGCTTGACGTGGCTTGCGTGGAAGCCTGCGGACCGGCACTCGCCGTGCCGTGTAGATCAGGCCCGATCAGAGATTGCGGCTAGGGAGGGATTGGAACACGCGGAGCTTAGGACGGGGCGGGGGAAAATTACATGAAGGCACCAAGGAAGTTCCGCAAGAGTCCGGTCTTGGAGTTTTGGCAAGTTTTGGCAAGTTTCAATCTGAGCTTGAACGACTTGAGCTCGTCTCGATCAACCAATTTCCGCCACGTTGCACACACGCCGCCACTTTTGCATACTGCTGAGCCTCATACTTTTGCTTCTACTTCTGATTGCCTGACCACTACGGTCCAGCCGATCACGCTTACGCCTGCACCTGCACGCCCTCGGCCCAGGCGGGGAACCAGTCCTCCCAGTCGGCCCAGGGGTCGGCGTACGCGTTGTAGCCCTTCTTGTGCTCGTGCGGCGGGCAGAGGACCTTGTCGATGACGTGCCACGCACCATTGGACGCAGGCACGTCGAGCACCTTGACATCCTGGTCGTTGACCTTCATCGAGATGCGCACCGCGCCTTCGATGGGCACGATACGTTTCTTCTCCGCGACAATGTGGAGCTTGGTCCCGTTCAACGCGGAGTGCACATCAAACTCGCGGCGGAAGCTCGGGTCGTCGCCCTCGGCGTCCGCGTGCTTCCCGCCCTTGTGCTTGTGCTTGGCGTGGTGCACCTCCTCGGAAAGAACAAGCGTGTGCGGCACAGCATGGTACATGAGGAGCTTGGCGAGTGCGTGCCGCCCAAAGCGGGAGAAGAGGAAGAAGTGGAGGCGGGGGGGGAGAGCGTCCCACGCGGCATTGGAGGGCGCGAAGAACGTCGCGAGCGGCGTACCCGAAAACACGGGTTTGCCAGGCTTGCTCTTCTCGCGGTCGTAACCCCAGTCGAGGTGCCGCGCGCCGCCGGCGCGCTGCACGGCCGACGTCGTCGTCGACAGCCACTTGGACGCGACGAACATTTCGTCAAAGATCGAGCCGGGGGGCAGGAGCGGGTGGTCGAGCTCGTGCAGCTGTCCGTTGCGCGCCGATGCGGAGCTTTGCACCCGCGCATAAAAGTTGAGCGTGAGCGCGGGCGGCACCACGCTCTTCGCGATGTGGATGCGCCGCGGGAGCCCGTCCGCGCTCCCGTCGTGCGGGCGCAGCGCCGTCGCCATCGTGCTGTTCTGCGCGAGGCTTTGCGCGTCGTGCGCTTGCGGCAGGATGTGGTATTTCAGCACCGCGTGCGCAATCTTCTTCATGATCCGCTTGCGCCGCTTCTTGTTTTTGTCGTCGTCCTTGTCTTTGCCGCCAAAGTAGAACTCGTTGTCCTCCAGCAGCCACGGCTGCTCGTCCAGCGCCTGCGAGATGTACGCGAGCGTCGGCGCGACGCTGTGGTGGTCGCCGTCGTGGTCGTGGTCGTGGTCTCCATCGTGGTCCCCATCATGGTCCCCGTCGTGGTCGTGGTCGTGCTTCGGCGGCGTAAGCGCCTCATTGTTCGGCGCGAAGAACGTAATGTCGTACCCGCTGTCGGCGTGGTCGAGCTCCTTCTTCACCGTGCCTTCAAACTATCGTCAGCCGCCGCTCCCTCATCCCCCTCCGGGCCCACTCACCTCGAGGATCTTCACGAGCCGCGTATACTTTTCGTCCTCCTTGATCTGCGCCCAGATCGTCTTCTGCGTCTCGTCGCCGCCGAGCACGCCCTCGGCGCTGTCGACGGCGTCGGCCGCCCACCGGCCCACATCCCACGAAGGGAGCACGAATGCGTGCGCGAGCGGCGCAAGTGATAGAACTGCGAGCCTCATAGTGGCTTGCTGGCTTGCTGGCTTGCTGGCTTGCTAGTGGGAGAAGTCAAGTGGCGAGCGCAGCTATATGCCCCCCGCGCGACTGCGCAATGACGTTGGTGCGTCACGTGCAGGACGAAGACGCAAGTGTGAACTGGGCCCGTGTCGAGGTCGGGAAAGCCGGCGGCCGGCTGAGCTGGGATGCTGCACGGGTCTGCGTAGTGAGTGTATTGGATTGTATTGCACTGCGGCTGCGGCCCGCGGCCTGCGACCTGCGACCTGCGGGTGCATGAGAAAGATGTCGGCCGACGGCCTGTGGAGCGGACGCAGTGCGTCATCGGCCGTCATCGCGGGAAAGCCGTACATTCAGCGGAAGAGCAATGGTGCCAGAGGACCCCAAAACGAGCTTGCGAGCACGCATGTGCGTGGCTGGGAACCGATTCGGACCGGCCGACGTGCATTGCGTGCACGAGAGAGGAGAGGTCTTGGCCGTCTTGGCTGGGCTTTATTCACACTGGGATGAGGATGGCTCAGGCCCCAGATTTCAGTGGCCAGAGATCCAGAGATCCAGAAAGAAGCAGAATCTCGCAAGTCTTGCCCAGACCGACGCCTCGAACACCTTTCCACCTGCCATCGAAAACTCTCAAGATCTCGAAGAGATCAGGAGATAAGATTGGGGTTGAGAATGGAAGAAGGCAAGTGACGTCATCCACATAAACTATGGAATGCAACGAAATTACACCCAGCACAGCATCGTCTCCTCCCACTTCTGGATCTCTCTCGCGATCTCGCGATCTCTCTCCATACATCATCTCTCTCCTCCTCTCTCTTTGCCGTGTTATTCTCGTCCTTCTGACGCCTCCAAGCGCCATCTACGCACGTAGTAGGCGCACATGGCGCGGGCGTACGCCGCGAGACGCACATGACTCACCTCCTCTAACATTGCGTGCGCTGCATGTCCAAGCCCGATGGCCCGTGCGATCGCGTGCGAGGCGTCAATCTCCCTCCATGGCCGTGCTCACATGCTCCCCCTGCTCCCCTGCCTGCCGTCTCGTCCATTGAGATTCAATCGCGCCGTCATGATAACCACCAGATATGGACGCAGACCAGATCCGAGATCTTCTCGGCGTCGGCGGCGCACGGCTCATTCGCCAAGACACCATGCTCGGTGCCAGCAATGAATGGACATCCAATCGAGTGACGAGCAACTAATCGATACACACTCATCTGCACATCTCTGTTGCTTGCCCCGCTCAATGCCCTCCGCCCTCCGCCCTCCGCCCTCCGCCCTCAACTCCCTCAGTGCCCTCGGTGCCCTCGTTGCCCCAGTCACCTTCCGCCTCGTCCCAACGAAGAGTGAGCCAAGCTATCCGAGGATCAAGGCACCCCCGCGCATGGCCGCGCAGTCCCCTACCCCAGCAATCACATCCGCAGTCATCATCTTCTCCCTCTCGCTGTCATACCGCACACTCGCACACTCACCTCTTCATCCTTGACATCTCTCCATGTCGTCACTGTCACTCCCTCCCCCATCACCATCACCTCCCTCCTCATCATCTCCATTCTCCCCCGTCTCCTCTTTATCTCTCTCTCCGCCTCCGCCTCCTCATCTCATTCTCCATCTCCTCCTCAATCTTCATCTCCTTCCTCATTTTTCTCCACCCAACTCCCCCAACTCCCCCATCTCAACCTCATCGCGCATCTCTCATCTTCCCCACTCCCCAACGCCCACGGAAGACGCGCTCATGCCGTCGACAGAGGCCGCACGTCGCCTATCGCCGATTACGGAAAGCAGAGCGCCACTGCACATGCCGCTCACGCCATCGGCGCGTCGTGCAAACACCCATTCCGCCCCCTTCCTCCTTCCCCCAACAGCCTCAACTCACGCGCCATCGCGCACTCCGTCCTCCTCTTGCCCATCCACCTCGGCCTCGTCCCCGTCCACCACACCCATCACCACACCCCGTGACTCCCCTCCTCCTACAAAGATCCCCTCTCCCTCCCCACGCACTTTTTCCAAGCCTTCTCCTCGCCTCACATCTCACATCCACCCACTCCACTCACACAGAACCCACAGCCAAAGCCACTCCCCAAATGCGCACCCAAAGTTCATCCCCGCACGTCCTGCTCCTCCCCCACCCCCACCCCGTACCCCGTCGCCCTCCTATGCCTGTATGAGCCAGGACTCACCGCCTACTCCGCAGCGCACTCCATCGCAGGCAAGGGGTCGGCGTCCTGCCCCAACGCCGATCATTACTGCGTAAGTTTGTCCCGCTTTGACCGCTTTGACCGCGTTGAACATGTCATGCCCGACGATCGCCAGTCACTGACATACATAGTATCGCACCCGAAAAGCACGGCCTCGACAAGACGACAAATCTCGCTATCGCACAGTACCCGCGCACTACCACCTTGCCACCCTTCTCGTCTTCGCGAACGCTACGGTCACCATCACCACCTCGCAAAGGGTCAGATGTCTCCGCCCCTCAACGTGTTGAGAATACCCAGTCTTCCTCTGACGAGTCGACGCCGACAATGACCCCAGTTGGCGCACTCGTGACGGTGAGTACAATCTATGCCATGCATTGACGTGTGTAAGGAGCACAGCACCGCCACCACCACCACCACTACTCTCTGCAAGGTATCGGCGGAGCGCAGCCTGCAAAGGCGGCCGCGGCCGCTCTCCGCAATGGCTCTGCATCGCACGACGCCGGGGCTAAAGAATAACTCTCGCTCGCTCTCACCAGGGCGGGCGTACCATACAAAGCAGCGCCCAGCCTCCGCCCTCGGCCACCCTTCACTCGCCCCTTTTGGCGGTGCCGTCCCTCTTTCTCGCGGCAATAGTCTCGTCGTACCAGCATCCCTGGACGACGCCCCGCGCAACACCATCACACCTGATGACGCGCCACCATCACGACGGTCCCGCGTGCAGAGCGATGGCAGCCGGCAGCTTTCGCCCCCACAAAGTCCAACGTCTCGAGGGCTCTCAGTTCGGCAAGCCCTGACGCCCATGTCCGACGACTATAGCCTGGACGGAATGGACGAAGCTCGATCTAGCACTCCCCTGCGCCGACAGTCTATTCGCATCGCCTCATTCATCTCACGATTCGGCCAGGATGCCGCCCGAAGGCTTACAAAGTCGCCCACCCCGTCGCCCCTCTGCATCGTTGCCAGCCCGGATACCATGAGCCTCCCTAGTCCCACCATCAAGACAGCCAAGCGACAGTCGGGATCGTTTGGTGTTATCGACGATGGTTCAGATACAGAGTCGATCCATCGTTTCTACCACGACAACACGCGCCGGCGGCGCAACAGCTGTGGCAGCATCGTTGAGGTAACGGTGCGCAGACTGTACGCCGAGAATGCAGACACCCACAGTCACGCGGAGGAAGAGATCGAGTTGCCGTTGTCGTCGAAGGCGGAGACAAAGTCGTCCGGCGCGCTAGATCTTCTATGCTTGGTGCCCGACGCCACTGTCCGTCCAAGTAACAGCGCGAGCGATCTCTCCACTGCAGGTCTCGACTCGTCTCCATCCTCACCCCCGGGACTCTCCCGATCGTCATCGCAGTGGACACCTCCCAGCGATTCTGTGTGCACACTCCCAAGCACCTCGCCATGTTCGACGCTCCCCCCGCCGGCGGCCTCCCCCGAGGCCCTGCTCTTCGCTGCGAGTCAGATGCTCAACTCTCACGGCGTAACTCTGCTACACCATGCCGAGCAACTGAGCGAGGCAAGCTCGAGCCTGCGAGCGCTCGCCACCGAGAGTCTCGAGTGGGGCTCGCGGCTCATGGCAGCCGCGAATAGAAGCATGGAGACGTTCCACTCGCCGCCCATGGTTGCGACTCCAAGTCCGTCGCAGACCCCTACCCCGCGCGCATCTATAGATGGTCTCCCAGATGGGATGCCCGCCATCTCCTCCCCTTCACCTCGTCCTGCGCGTCGTTCGGAAGAGCACCGCCTGAGCCAGAGATCGCCGAAGCGCAAGTCGTGGATTCTTAAGCCTGTCCGCCACGCGAGTCTGCTCATGGAGTCGGAGCGTCTGGCCAGTCTTGGCTGGAGCAGACTGCAAACAAGCGAGAGGAGCGCACACAGCGTCGAGGCTGCGGATACCAGCAGAGCCTTCGCAGACGACTACGTAATGATCTCGGGTTCCAGAGCTTCAGCATCACCCGAGCCAATAGTACAGACCTCTCCCACATCAATGTCCGATCCTCATCGCGGCGCGCACGACAGTGAGCCGTCGTCCCCCGGGCGCCAGAGCGACCAGAGCAGCAACTCGCACGATTCGGAAGACCTTCCAGAAGAGGTGCCGTCCCTTCTCCCTCCCATCAACTTAATTCCCCCTATACCACGAGCCGATCAGGTGTCGACAAAGTCCGCCCAAGGTCCAGTTAGCAAGACACCTTGGAGCGACTCATCGACAAAGATCCTCGTCTCCTCTCCCGACCCGATCGACAAGCCGGAGCCCGACTACTCCGTCGCATCCTCTACCCCCACGCTCACTCCCTCCCGTTCCAGCACCGACTGCCGCAACACTGAGCGGCACAGTGCCACACCCTCGCTTCAAACGGACCAAACGGACAACTCGCGACTCGCTCTCACACCCGTCACAATCATGGTAGACCAGCCTCCCGAGGTGCCCGACATAGCCATCTATACCAATCCGCAATTCGCCCAGACCGCAGTTGCATCTCCGACGACATACCCGGCGCCGCTGCCGCAGAAACTCCCACGCAAGTCGGACACGGATCTGCCGAGCCGTCTGAAGCGCCGGCTGAGTGGACGTTACGCCGAGCTCGACCGCTCGGGCGCGACGACGCCGAGACGCTGGTTCCGCTGGGCTCGCCAAACCGATTAGGAAATTAGATAACATCGCATGGACAGTAAAACGCAACTAGAAGTGCATGCATACAGGTTGTACAACGGTTGAGCGAGTGCGGGTGGGTGGAGGTTGAACGGGACTTAGGCCTTGAGGGGGTAGAGGTCGAGGAGGCGCTCAATCTTGCCGAGGCCGACGTTGAGGTTGTCTCGTGCGACGGAGAAAGTGATGCGGAACCAGCCCGCCTCAGAGTTATGGTACGCCGTGCCGGGCGCGACGTAGACGCCGCCGTCCAAGAGGCGCTGGAACACGCGCTTCTCCTCCATGGCATCGCGGAAGCCGAGGCGGCCCCCGATATCCACCCACACAAAGTTGCCGGCATTCGACGGGGCGACATGCACGCCGCGCGCCTCGAACCAGGCACGGACGTACGCGGCGGCCTCGGCGAGCCGCGCGCGGTTGAGCGCGACGAACTCGGCCAGGCGCGCCTCGTCGGTGAGCAGCGCGCTCCAAATCACGTCGGCGGGCGACGAGATCTTCATGAGCATCGACGTGCCCGCCATCGCGCGCAGGAGGAGCGGGTTGGCCTGGCTCACGAGCGCGCCGACGCGCAGCCCGTTCGCGCAGAAATCCTTGCTCATGCCATATACGACGTGCAGGCGTGCGCGGTCGAACGTGAAGGTTTTTCCGGCACCCTCGCCTGCGACCTCGCCCTCGCCTTCGCCCTGGCCCAGGACTTGGTCCTCGTCCCCGCCGATGCCGCCGCCGACGCCGACGCCGACTCCGCCTCCGCCTCCGCCGAGCTCCCGCTCGACGTCGAGGCTCAGCATAGACGTAAACCCCGCACCGCCGTATACGCTCATAGCGTAGATCTCGTCGCTGACGAGGTGGAGATCCCGCTCCTCGCAGAAACGGGCGTACGCGAGCAACGTGTCGCGGGGGTACGTCCGCCCGAGGGGATTGTGGGGGTTACACACGATGACGGCGCGCACGGTGACGCCCTGCGCGGCGAGCGCGTCGGCCTTGGCGGCGAAATACGAGAGGCTGGACGGCGCGAACGCCTCGTCCGCCGGCAAGTCGACGGGGACGAGGGAGACGCGCGCGCGCCCGATCAGGTCCCGGTCAAAGCCGGTGTAGTATGGCGCGGCGAGGAGCACGGCCTCGCCCTCGTCCATGAGCGTGTGGAAGAGCTGGTCGAGCACGGCGGAGCACCCGACGCCCGTAATCAGCTGGTCGGGGAGCACGGGGTGTGCGGGGTCAAAGTAGCTTGCGTGAGCGGACTCGAAGGGGGCTCACTCGTTCAAAAAGCCGGCGAGCGCGCGGTTGATCCGCCGGCTGCCCCACAGCCCGTCGCCGTACGAGAGGTCGGACGCGAGAAAGTTGTGCTGGAACGCATGGGTAAAGTACTCGAGACACTCTTTCTCGAGGAGGAAGTTCTCGGCGACGCCGAGCGACACGATGCCGCGCGGGTTGTGTTTGCAGTTGTATTCTGCGTGAGCAGCGCAATAGGAAGCACTCACGGTCCTTGAACAGACAGGAGAAGCGCTCGATGAGCGGCCCGGCGTCCGGGCCGCCCGTCGCGCGCGCGCTCAGCTTCGGGCCCAGGTAGATGCGCCGCTGCTCCTCCCTGCTCCCGAGGGGGGTGGAGGGCGCCGGCTGCGGCTTGGGCGGGAAGCGGGGACCCGCGGCATTGCACAGCGCGAGATGCGAGAAGCAGCCGATGAGCGTCGCGCAGCCCACTGGCTCGTCCGGGAGGCGCGGGACGCCGCTGGCCGGCTGCAGCGAGTAGCGCTTGGCGAGGGTGGAGGTGGAGGACGACGATGAGGCCGAGGTCGCTGAGGACGCTGAGGACGCTGTGGACGCTGCGTCCGCCGCGTCCGCCGCGCGCGCGCGCGCCTTGGTGGGCGTGGGTGCGGAGATGGGGATGGAGGCAATGGGCGACATGGTGCGTGGGGAACGCTGCTCGCTGCTCAGCACAGTCTATATACATGCGCTCGACATACTTGCTCCACATGCGCGCTTCACGGGCTAGGCGCCGGCGCGTGACGCGGGACAGCGCATGCTGTTGAGTGGCGATTCGGAATGGGACGAGCGAGTTGAGAGTTGCGGGGAATGACGGACCATGGAACGCCAATCTCGGCCCTGAGGTCTGAGGGCCGGTCAAGGTCCGAGGAGGCTGGGCTGGTATCGCTCCAAGCCCATCGCCCATCGCCGACCCGTGCTCCGTGTCCGACGCTCGGCACCGCGCGGGTACTCATTCGGACTCGCTTCGTTGGGCTTGCTGGAGCTTGGAAATGTGCACCGGGCGAGAGGAGGGGATCGTGGGATCGATCACAGCTGCAGGGGGTTGCCACGACAAGGGGCCAGGGAACGGCATGTGTCTTTGAAACGTTGAAACATAACACAAAGTCGCGCAACGTGCCACAGTGACTTGGCGCAAAGATATCACATGCACATCCTCAGCTGGCAGATGCTCCCGAGCCGCCAGCCCACAGAGAGATGCTGGCAGTGCAGTATATGTGCCGTGTCGGAGTCACGCTGTAACTGGGGATTACTCCAGGAAATGACGCTGTCCTCACGGCACAACGCGTTTCATCGCCTTCGTCCTGCAAGCCCTTCGACACCATCGACATATCCGGCAGGCGGTCTCCACTTGAGTTAGAGCCAGCTTGGCGGACGGATTCCTGCGGATTACTCCCGCATTCCCGTCACAACCTGCCATGCCTCCATGCACACCCAATTCCTTCGTCTCCGGGTGCCCGTGTCGTGAAAGGCAGTCGCGTACACGCCTCTTTTGCGTCCATAGAGTACATATCCGCCCCGCGTCGCCCAGGTATTATCGAACAAAGCCGTTCGTTTAGCTCAGTGGGAGAGCGTTCGCTTCACACGCGAAAGGTCGTGAGTTCGAAACTCACAACGAATACGTGTTCGCTTTTGGCTGTCGGCGCATCCGAGCAGCCTGGTGCTCACGAGAGCGCGTTGGGGGTGGCCACAGACGGCGCTACGAACGTGTTTTCAGCACTGCCATTCCAGCGTCAGTGAGTCTGGGTCGGAGAGAGTCGCCGGCGAGCACTATAATATACCGAAAGCTACAACATGCGAGTTGGTCACAACTTCTGCCCCGGCTCACGTCTCGCCTGCGCCCAAGATGGATCGTACATTGGCGGCACGGTCACCTGATGCCGCACAGCTCTCCCGTCGCGCTCCTGCACAAATTCAGGCGACACGGACCGCGGCGCCGAGCCAGAGGGTGATGGCGTGAACATGCCTTTCGTCTGCTCGATGAGCGATGCGGGTCCGGAGCTTGGCCCGGCAGATGGTGAGGGCGCAGAGGATGGATCAGTCTGGCCCGGACTGCTGTTAGCTTTGTCTGTTGAAAGCTCACAGGGCCAAAGGCAAGCCCCGTACCCCTTGGGGTGGGCTAGAGCGGCGTCGCCGCCGGCGTGGAACGGGCTGATGACACGCGCTTGGAGGTCGTGCAGCTGCTCAGTTGAGGCGCTGGCGACGGCGCCGCAGGACCGGATGCTCGTGTAATGTCTATCTTTAATGGTGACAATGCGCTGCCGGCCGTACGGGCGCCCCCGGCATGCTCCTCCCCAGTTTTGAGCAGGTTTGAACAAGGCGACAACAAACGCAGGGCAGGCTTAAGTAGAGGGCGTGTGGAATGGAGTGTGGAATACATGTAAATGACGTGCTGCAAAATGGTCATGTATCCCGAGATATTCTGCCACATCCCCACGGCTGCCACTGGTCGCCACTGCTACGGGGCAAGTCATCGGCGACACCTAGATGACCTGGTCGCCGCACTACTGCATGAGCTCGTCAATCGTGATGCTCATAAGCGGAGAGAAGAGCCCGCTCGATCCTCGCCGATCCTCACTCCCGTGTGGCCATATCACGTCGGCGCTTCTTCATCACATCATATCACCTAGTCATCGCACGCTTCCCGCACCTCCATCAAAACACAATGCAGTCATATATACTCTACCACATTCTCCGCAAAACGGCCCCCAGCCCCTTGGCTTCGCCCGACACCAGTACCGCGATCGTGTCAGAATACGCCAGCGGATCCGATATAGCGGCGGACACCTCTCCCGATCCAGGCGAGTCCGTGCAGAACCCTGCCTCCTTTGCCTCGCCCTCCCGCCCCGAGTCCGAGTCCGCGCCACTGCCCCATTCACGGCCTTCAGAGCCCCTGCCACCTCAGCCGACCTCGGACGCCGACGTGCTCGCCTCGCTCTCGATCGCACCCACCCTCTCGGACACCGCCACCCGCATGCAAACGGCGCTAGGACACGAGGGGGAGGCCGCGGCCGCCGCATCCGCAACCTCGGAGCGAGCCGAGCACCGGAACGACGACTCAAACCCTCTCGCCGCGACCGGCGAAGCAAGCCGCCCGTCTCCGCACAGCGCGACCATCGCCGACCTCACCGCCGCCATGAAGGACGTGCAAGCGCACATCGACGCGCAGACCCGCGCCGCCGCATCCCAAGCGGCGTCTATTGCCGCGCTGGCCGAGACGGCGCGCGCCATGCGTACCTCACACGCCACTCTTGCCGAGGTACAGGCGATGCGGCAGACGCTGGCCGCACTCGGGGTGACGCGGCTCCACACGTCGGCGGAGGCGCAGGGCGCCATCGAGCTCCCTCTTGAGAACTCGGTGGGTGGGGCTGTGCGGCATTTGCGTGCGGCGGCTGCGGCGCTCGAGGGCGCGGCGGTGCGCGAAGTTCACGCGCGAGAAGGCGAACTGGCCGCGGCGCGGGCGGAGTGGGAGAGCGAGAAAGAGAGGATGGGTGGTGAGATGCAGCGGATGAACGATCGGTGTGCACAGGCGGAAGGCCGTGCGCGCGCGCTCACGCGGGAGAGGGAGGAGATGGTGGTCAAGTACCACGCGGAGCGGAGGCGGCTGGGCGACGAGGTGTTCGCGGCGAAGGAGGCGTTGTATGCCGTGACGGGGATGATGTGCTCCACGTGCGCTAGGCGGTTTGAGGCGAAGCGCACACAGAGGTGGAAGAGATGAATGGCCAGGATGCGCGTGCGCTGCAGTACTCTGTGGCGTGCCGTGAGAGATCCTAAGTTGTTGACAGCCGCCACTTCTAAAACCCCACCTTGCCCCACCTACCCGCTACGAAACTCGATATTCATATGCACGGATATGGATCATGTGGTCTAAATATACAACGTCTAAACATTCTACGGGGGCTCAGTGCGGTGTAATGCAAATGTGGGGTGCGATTAGGGATTGGTGGTATGTGTAGTGTTACGAGGCGCTCAGAGAGTAGGCACGGCTGAGGGAGCGCCCTCGGGCTCGCGCGGAACGATCCAGCCCTCCTTCCGGCAGCGCGCGCAGCGGATCCACTCACGCCCGCTGGCGTCAGGCTCGGTGGAGTGCCCCGCACTGCGCGCCGCAGTCTCGAGGCACGCGCGGTGCCAACGGTGTGGGCAGGCGAGGAGGACAAACTCGTGCCCCGTGTGGGGTTCGGTGCCGGGCTCGCGGGGGGGAAAGGGCGGCTGGCTCTCGGCATAGATGGCAAGCATCTCCTTGTCGGCCCCGTCCGCATCGTCCTCGGGCTCGTCGTCCACGTCCATCGACTCCGCGTCGGGCACCGGCGGCGCGATGAGGCACTCGACCGCGTCACAGCGCCACCCAAGGCCCTTCTCACGCTGGGCCGTCCAGCTCTCCAGGCTCTGAGGTATGAAGTCAGGCTGCGCGGGTGGCTGGTTCTCCGGCTGCGCCTCTGGCTCCTCGGGAGGCGCCCCACCAGGAGGTGGGTGGATAATGAAGAAATCGAAGGGAATGTGGAAAGCGCCTGCCCCAGGGGTGTTGGCGTCTGCGCCATTGTCGCCGTTGCGGGGCATCGTGTTGGTGGCTTGACTAGCGTTCGCGGGGTTAGATGGGGCGGCGCCAGCAGGTGGCGAGCCGGGAGGCCCACCGCCCGGAGTAGAAGAGGCGGTGGCCGGAGAAGAGCCAGTGGCGGAGGCGCTAGCCGGTGCCGAGTCGGCAGCGGAGGTCGCGTCCGGAGCACCTCCCGCGGCAGGTGCAGTCTGGCGAGTGCGGTTCCCACCGAGCAAGAACGTAGCTGGGTTGAACGGCGCGCCTCCACTGAGGGGGTTCAATCCAAAGAGCCCAGGAGCCCAAGGTAGAGGGCCGCCGCGCGCAGGTGCTGGCGTGGCGACGGGTGCTTGAGCCGCAGCTGGGGGTGCACCAGAGGTTGCCTCGCTGCCCTCACCTTGAGTAGGAGATGCCGTGCCCACCGGCCCGTGCGCCTGCGCCTCCTGCCGCTCGTCGGCGTCCCCACCGCCGCCGATATGGGTGTGGCGCTCGGGCATAGGCTGGTCAAGGCCGCCGTGCGGCTGCGCTTGGCCGGGCTGCTCGGCAGGGGTGTTTCCGGGCGCAGGCGCCGCTCCACCGCCGAGATCGGCAGCAGGACCTGTTTCAGCGGCAGTGTCAGGGTGCCCAGCTTCTTCTCCCTCGCGGGGCGCCTCGCCATCACGAACGAGAATCGGTGCCCCGATAGGGAGGCCTAGGCTGCGGGCAAAGTCGATTGCCACGTCGAGGGGGTTCAACGGTACCTCAAGGCGGTGTCCCCCGTCGGCGCGCTCGTTCTGGGGTGTGCCTGGCTGAGTGGGCGCATTGCTGCCTGGGCGGCTGCGGCGACCCTCGGCAGCAGCTGGGGCAGCGGGGCGCGCGTACGGGTGGGCAGCACGGCCCGCTGGTGTCCCGCGACCAGAGCCCGTCGTAGCGGGACGCAGCGGCGCGCGTCTAGCTGGCTCATGGAGGGTGCGGAGGGGGTCGAGATCGAGACGGCAGGTGGGGCTGAAGTTAGCAGAGCATCTTCTGAGATCCAAAAGTACTCACCAGGTGTGGTGATGATTCGTGAACCATGGCTTCAGGCAAGTCTCATGGAAGAGGTGATTGCAGGGCAGCGCCTTGACGGTCTCACCGAGGTCGATGCCTTCGAGGCAAATGCCACACTGCCACCCTGAAGCGTCACCGTCATCACGCCTTCCTTCCGCGGCCACCACTTTGTCGACGCGTTTGAGAAGGGCACGGCCCACAGTTGGCAGCGAGTTGAGTAGCTCTGCTGCCTTGGCGGGGTCAGGAGGCGGGGGACCCGGCCGGAAGGGGAATGCGAAGGGGAAAGGGAAGGGGAACGGCGGGGCGGCGGCAGCATCGGCCGCACCGTCACCGCGGCGCATCGTGCCGTCGGGTCCGACGATGAAGAAGATGGAGCGTGTGCCATCGCGCTCCTGGTTCGCCGGCTGAGGATTGGGGCCAGGCGGGGGGACTGCAGGGTCTGGGTTGCCGTTCGCGCTCGGACTGGGAGCATTCTGGGCATTCTGGGTCTCGGGAGCAGGAGATCCGTCACCAGCCTCGGGGTTCGCGTTGTTCGGTGTCCCGTCAGCAGCAGGGGTGGGATTGGGTCCCGGGGCCGCGCCCTCTTCGTCGTTGCCGAAGACCTCGAGGGTCCAAGTCAGACCGACCTGGGGGCCATCGGCGCCGGCTGGCTGGCCGGTGAAAGGAATGAAGAAGGAGATGGACGACAGCGGGCGCTGAGCACGCCGGCGATTAGGAGAAGATGGCGAGCCCGACTGTCCCTGCTGCGCGGGACCAGCGGTGGGGGTGGGCGCAGGGGCTGCTGGTGGCGATGTGCTGCGATCGGCTGTGGAAGGAAGGGAGGGGCTGGCTGCAGCTGGGTTGGTGGTGGCGGCGGGGTGACCGACGTTGGAGCTGGCGGAGGTGACGCTGGAGCTCTCACCGACGTGGGGCGCGTCCGGCGCGCTCCCTGCTACGACTGGGGTGTCAGATGCCCGAATGGGGCCGTCACGATCATCTGGTGGTGGTCGTGGAGAGGACATGGTGGAGTGTGTGAATGCAAGACGGACGAGATGGACGAGATGGACGAGATGGGGGTTGGAGACAAGGATTAAGAGCATGCTCGAGATGGTGATGACATTTGGCTCCGCCTGCGCGCACCACCTGTCTGACTCAGCCCTCTGCTACACCCTCATCTACGTCTCCGTCGGCCTCTGCATCATTCCGGGAAGCCGGGGCCGTGAGTGAGACGCAGCACGCAGCACGTAGATGTAGATGCATCGCACACCCTGGAGGAGAGCAAGTTGCATGGGCCGCGCTGGTTATTTGCCGAGAGAGACAACGTCGCGCGCCACTCGCCACCCAACTGCTTCTTGCTGTAGTCGTCCTCCGTGTCCTCCAGAAAGATTGCCCCAGCATGCCCATGGCGCCCCGTCACGCGCGCTCCACTGCTGCGAACGCACCAGAAGGAATGCTGTGCTCCGAGGAGAAGCACAGCGAGCAATTGTCGCGATGAGGCGTCTGGAGTGCGCCGGAACTTTATGGAAAATCGGCTTCAGCCGCCACCCAGTCCGATCTCCGCAGTCGCACGACGCCGGAACGCCAGTGTCCTGGGCATCGCCGGCGGCCGGCGGCCCTTCGGTTCGAGAATGCGTAGATGCGGAGGGCAGAGAGTTTGCGTAGGAGCCGGCACCTGGCTCTGGCTGGCTGCATGAAGAGGCGTTGTCAACGTCTATCACGTTTTATCTGAGATCAGGTTCTTTGACCTCTGAACTCCATCACAAGTTAGGCACAACCCCGCGCCATCTGTCGCCAGCTCGCCAGTCCGTGACCGAGCTAGAGTCCAAGTACGTAGACGCTCCCACCGTAGGCCGCACCTGTCACATCAGAGAGCACCGAAGGGGCGAAATTACACACTCCTCATTACACAGCCGCCAGATTGATCCGATCCTCCTCGTCCTCCTCTGACCCCCCCTGCTCTTTCCACTGCCAGGCAACGATCCACACGTGCATACTCGCGGAGGGGTGATGCCATACATAATGCGGCTATCGTACAATCGCTGCGCCTGTCTGGCGGGGCGGTTTTGAGGGAAGGACAGCATAGCTAACAACGAGTCGAGTCGCTTAGAAGCCGGCGGGGACGCCGGCAGGCTGGCCGGCGGGCGCACCGCCCATGAGCTTGGGTTAGCGGGTGCGCGAGAGGGCGAGATAGGACATAGGGGGGAGGGGGGAGGTATGAAAGATGGGATGGAGAGAAGATAGGAGTGGGGGGAGGTGCTGTGGTAGGGTGAAGAATGCGTTGGGCATCGCGTCAACTGAAGCAGCCGCGCACACCAATTCCGGCATGGAGCAAGTGGCCCACAGGGCCACAGATGAGGATGTGTTCCCAGCCTAGGCTGAAGTGTGAAGCTGGGTCGATGCCCAAACTTCCTATCGGTGACACCCCGTCGGAGTGGAGAAGACATCACTCCGACCACCCCGTCCACCTTCCATCTCCTATCGCCATCCATCCATCCACCGTCCTGCACTCCACTCTGTAAACTCACCTGCTGCTGTCCGGCGCTCTGCATCTGCATCTCGCGCTCCTGCTGGGTGATGCGCGCCTCGTCCTCGATAGCAAGCGCAAGCGGCAAGCCGACAAGCAGCGCCGACGTCGTGACCCACCACGCGAGCTGGCCCGTCCCGCTCGTCGCCCACTTGGCCCACCCGACGACGCGGTCGGCGCTCTTGGCGACGGCGGTGCGCGTCTCGGGCGGCACCATGTCCTTGAGGGCGGCGATGCGCTCGGCGAGCGTCTCGTTCGGGTCGAACTCGTCCGACGCGACGCTCTCGTCGTCGCTGAACTCGGACTCGGTCTCGTAGTCCGACTCGCGCTCGATGATATCCTCCTTGACTTCTTCGACGAGAACCATGGTAGTGGGTTATTGGGTGGAAGGCATGGACGGCGGCGGGGGATATGGAAAAGGATAGGGTCGGGTATGTGGGGGGCGGGATAAGGAAAGTTTCCGTCCATCCTCCAGAATTGAGCCACTGGCGAGTGTCAACAACACCCAGCAACACTATGGTTCTCAAAGGCATCTTGAAGAACAGCGAAGCGGGGCCGAGCAAGCCCAAGGCCGGCGCCAAGGCGAGCGTGCGCACGCGCGTCGCCAAGCCGGCCGCGCAGCCGTCCAAGCCGTCCAAGTCCAAGCCGACTACGAAGGGCAAGGTACGAGTCGAGGCGCCCGCGCCCGCGCCCGAGTCCGACGACAACGACTTTGGCGACGAGCTAGACACGGACGAGGAGATCGAGCGCGCCAACGCGCCCGGAGAGAAGAAGGCGCCAAGTAAGCCCTGCGCAAACGTCGCTGACGGACAGAGAAGAAGCGCGTGACGACAGCCTCCGACTTTGGCGCGGCGCTCACGGGCCTGATCGCGGAATCGGCGCGGCCGAAGAAACGCAAGGCGGAGGCGGAGACGGAGCACGCGGCGCGCAAGAAGGCGCCCGCCCCCATCCTCGCCCTCTCGGCTAAGCCGCTGCCGCCCAGCATGGCGGAGGAGCGGCTGGAGCGGCGCGCGGCGCGCGCGCTCAAGGCCGAGCGTGAGGCGCGGCTCGACCGCGCGCGTGTGCGTAATGTACTCGAGGGATGGGTGCCGGCGGACGGGGCGGGGGTTGGGAGCCAGGAGTTTGAGCGCGGGCTCAGGAAGACGGCGCAGCGTGGTGGTGAGTCTCGAGAGGACGGAGGACGGAGGATAGAGGAAGGAGGAAGGAGGAGGAAGGCTGACTTCAGTGATCAAGCTGTTCAATGCGATTCTCGTCGCCTCGAAAAACGCCGAGGCGCAGGCGACAACGCTCGCGCAAAAGGCGGGCGTCAAGCCCGAGGCGCCGAAGAACAAGAGGGAGAAGGACAATATTCTCGGCCGTGGCGGACAGGAGACGCTTACCAAGGAGGGCTTCCTCGACCTTGTGCGGCGTGGAGGGCAGTAGGGCGGCAGTGGTGCCAGGAAAGAAGCACAACGAGGCGTGGAGTTAGAGGAGGGGCAAGAGACCAGCGCCGAGGATGCGGTTGCACGAGTGGCGAGTGAGGACAGAGCACATTTAGACAGGGCCAGACTATGCATATGTATATCCTAGGATAGTCTCAGCGGCGGTGATCGTGGTCTCGGTCACGGTCTCTCCTGTCGTAGTCGCGGTCGCGATCCCTCCGGTCGCGGTCATCGCGGCGGTCTCGGTCATCACGATAGCGGTCACGATCGCGGTCACGACGGTCGTCGTGATCCCGCCGGTCATCGCGATCTCTGCGACTCCGGTCATCTCGGCGGTCGCGATCGCGGCGGTCGTCGCGGTCGTCGGCGCGGGCTCGGCGGTCACGGTCGTCGCGCCCTCGCCTGTCATCACGCACACGATCGCGTCGGGGACTCGTACTGCGCGGGCGCGTGGGCTCCACCACCACATCGTAGCCCTTGGAGCCATACCCCGAGTCACGGGTACGCTCAAAGTCGCCCCGTCCCCCAAACCCACCCCGTCCTCCCCGCCCGCCCCTTCCTCCTCGCCCTCCCCTCCCGCCATCAGGCGCCATACCTGGCCGATACACGCCCTTCATCTTGGCCACGCTCTGGCTAAAGTCGACCCAGATGCGGCGGTCGTCGACCAGCACATTCTGCATCTTGAAGTAGGCTTGTTCCGCGCTGTCCTGCTGGTCGTACTCGATGAACGCGTACTGCAGGCTGTCGCCCGTCTTCTTGTCGCGCACAATCTCGCAGCTCAGGATCTTGCCGAAGCGCGAGAAGATGAGCTCCAGGTCCTCGTCTTGCGTCACGGGGTTGAGCTTGCACACGAACAAGATGTTCTCGGGCGGACGCACGGCCGCGAAGGGCAGATCGCCGATCATCTCGAGCGTCAATGCCGAGGAGGAGGCGGCTGTTGCGCGCGCGCGCTCGGCCGCGGCTTCTTCGTCTAGCTGCGCGAAAGCGTCCTCGTCGTCCGCTATGCGCACCATGCCGTCAGGAGGACGGAGGGGTGAGTCGGGTATAGGGATCATGTTGGGCGGATCTTCGAACGGGTCTTCTGGTCGTAAGCCTCCTCCGGCGCTCGTTAATGGACTCACCAAGAATCTCAACGTGGCGGATGCGGATATCTTGGAGCGGGCGACCTTCCTTGTCCAGATACGCGTCGTTGATCTTGTCGAGCGTTTCGAGCCCCTCCACCACATGGCCAAACACGGCGTGCTTGCCGTCAAGGTAGTCAATGTTGTCTCCGAGCGTGATGAAGAACTGCGACCCGCATCCTGGCGGGTCGGTTGGCGCGACAGCCATCGACACGGTGCCCTTGCTCTTATGCTTGAGCTTGGTTGTGATCTCGGGGGCAAAGTAGCGGGCGGGCTGGGGGCCGACTGGATTCTTTGAGAAGAGGAAAGCGTCAACACACTCGCCACCGGTCCCTGTCGCTGTGGGGTCGCCGGTCTGCGCGATGAAGTCTTTGGAGACGTTGAAGAAGGCGTTGAGGTTGTAGTACTTGAGCTTGCAGAGTTTGAGAAAGTTGTCGCATGTGCGCGGGCAGCGGTCTACCTCGAGGTCGATGACGATCTCGCCAAGAGATGTCTCTAGGAGGACCGACATGGCGAGACGGATGATCGGAAGGAGGGAGGGAGGGGGCAGAGACTGGAAGCTGGAAGGGTGAGGGAGGAGGAGGCCCGGGGGCCGTTCAAATGTTGACGAGTTGAGTTGGGCGGCAAATGACGGACCTGTGGTTGCGTCAGTGCCACGCGCCGGCCTCGTCGGCGTCGGAGTTAGCCACGTGACTGGGTGATGGGCCAGTAGCGATGGTGCATCGTGGGAAAGTTATCCACGTGTGTGTTGTCACGTGTGGCGCTTGGCTGTTAAACATGGTAAAAGCGGGTTCAGGGGGAAACCCACAGGTCGAGGGGTTAGGAAAAGTCCCGGGCCGGTTTCAAGCTTGCAAGCTTGATCATTTTGAATTGCATCATGTTCCCGGCAGGCCCGGCAGTGTCGCGCATTGAATTGAATCACAATCCCGTGCTCATGTCGACGCAGCCGAAGAGGCCTAGCGTTGCGGGGGGACAAGGGTAAGTATAGGGAAGAAGAGATTAACGGTTTGCGGGTCACGCAAGTTTTTAAGGCGGGAGACGCCACGCCGAGTGACCTGGTACTCCTGTACTGTACAGTGCTGGAGTGAGCCAAATGGGATTGAATAGGATCGACGACGGCGTGATGGGAGAAAGCCGGAGAGAGACATGCGAAGAGGAACAGAGGAACGGATAAGAGCGGAGGCCCAGCCCCAGAAGCCCAGAACAACTGGGATCACTGGGATCACTCTGCGCTTGACGACGGGACGGAGGACGTGGACGATGCGGGCCTGCGGGACTGCTATGCTCCTGCGTTAACCTTACTGCTTGCCCCGCTCCCATGCTCCCAGCTGCCAGCTGCCAGGCTCATCCTCAAACCTCATCCATGCATCCATCAAATGTCACACTCCTCGCACGCTCCTCGCACACTACTCGCACAGGTCGAGCATGCGTGCAGGTCGTGAGGCGCCACTTTTGTCAGGAAATGCACATGATTGCGCTGATGGCGTCTGCCGTCGGTACACGGGCTCGACGCCTCTCCGGGTCGTCGACACACTCACCCGAATTCCCGGTCTCTGCTATTCTGCTGCACTAACCCTCCCTGCATGGTCTGTGCGTCAGCTGCTCAGCGACACTCTGTATATCTTCCACCATCATCAACCACTTCTTTGTCACTCCCTCGTCCTCTCTCCATCCCTCTCAACCTCTTCACAACAACCTGCATCGCTGTCACAGCTCGTCCTCAAGCTGCCCACAATGAAATTCCTTGGACTCCTCGGTGAGCCCCCACCCTTCCGCACGCCTCTGACCCCAGCCCTCACGCTGGCCGCTGCTGCCCCCATCGCGCCTGCACCTGCACCTGTGCTCGCGCCCGCCCCCGCCGCCGACGGCATCTTCTACCACCCCCTCCCCGCGTGGACGCCCGGCCACCCCGAGCTCAACCCCAAACCCGCGTACCGGCACCAGATCGAGGTGGACGGGCGCGTCTTCGCCGTCTCCCGGCCCACCTGGCTCGCGAGCTACCTCTCTTCGCTGCTCCCGCAGGCGTCTGACCCCGAATCACGCGTCCTCGCCGCCCAGCTCCCACCAGACAGCGGGTACTCCTTCCACCGCACGTTCATGTCGGACATGCGCCACGCCGCCGCGCGCGGGTACGACGCCCTCGGGGACCGCAGGACGTATGCCGCCGTCATGCTCGTCGTTGCCGTGCTCAACTTTTCGAGCATCCTTCTCGTCCTCATGTTCTTCCGTGGACGAGACCGCGAGTGCGACTACGAGGAGGGAGCTGCCCCAGAAGGCAAGATCAAGCTCGAGCAGTAGATCCGCAGTGGAGGGTGAGGAGTAGACATGTCTGCGACGCTATAGTAGCTGTATCACGAGTGTAATGGACCTTTACGAACTGAGTGGCGCTGTCGTGGCTAACGATCTAAAGAGCAAGGGCTCACAAGGCGGTGACGGAGTCGATGGCTGAGGCATGGAACTGGCAGGGGGCCGCGACGAAACTGACGTCGACTAAGATCGCAGGGTCAAGGTCGTCACAAGAGCCATGCGAGCGCGCTCGACTGCGCCTCTGCGGACTGGCTCGACTCGGCCGTCTCATGCGCGTGTCAAGGACAGAATCAGATGTCATGCGCGCAGCTGACCACCGGGGATGCTGGCGACAGCATCAGGAGAGCTCAAGAGAGCCTGCACCTGTCAACTCACAGTCCATGCTCACCTGCCGACCCCGCGTCCACAATGGGAGGCCGAAGGAGTTGCGAGCGGGCGGGACGCGGAGAGATCCGAGGGGTAGCGCGTTGCGCTCTCGTTCCCGGGGCTAGAAGGCGCTCTGGGCTCTACACTCCTCGGACCGCCAGCCGCCAGCCGCCAGCCGTCACGCGTTGGCCAACGCAAGCAACGCAATGTCCCAATGCACTCTGGTCGACGCTGGCGCGCCAAACGAGCACGACCGTGGGAAGGTTGACGGTGGTGACGTCGGTGGAGGTGGAGGTAGATTGTTGGCGTCGTCTCGCCGCTGTCTACCCATTACCGTCTACACCATACCCACCGACACCACAACAATGTCGCGTCGCGAGCGACGGCACATCCCCTACCTCTCCTTCCACAAGACCATCATCCGCGAAATATGCCGGCCGCAGAAGGACGACTTGCTCATCATTGCCAAGGGGCTGGGCCTGCGGCGCGTGAGTCACCCTTACCTACCCTCCTAATGCCAGATTGTGACGGCGCTCCTCAAGACATACGACAGGAAAGAGGACCTCGTGATTGTGGTGAGGAGATCCGTGGCCACGCTGAGCCAGATCAACGCGCGGCCCGAGGACGAGGCGGGCATCGGCGACGAGCTGAGCATCATGGGCGTGCGCGAGCCCGGCTTGCGCATCCTCACCTACGAGATGGGCGTCAAAGAACGGTGAGAGCGCACGCAGCAGGGTTGACAGCAGCGAGGACATGTACCGCAAAGGCGGGTTGTTTAGCGTCACCTCCAAGATCCTGGTTACGGACTTCTTGAGTCAGTCGCGACAACGGAAGGGCGACGGAGTCTGACGGCAGAGGGCACGGTGCCGGTCGAGCTTATCACAGGGCTTGTGGTTTTGCACGCCGAGACGTGAGCGGAGGTGCGAGCGAGCTAACGCCAGGGTAAAGCACGGTAGCCTTGAAGAGTTCGCAGTGCGGCTGTACCGCCGCAAGAACCAGACTGGATTTTGCAAGGCGTTCTCCGACGAGCCCGAGCTGTTCGCCCACGGCCTCTCGCCGATGAAGGACATGCTCGTCAACCTCAACATGACCAACGTCATGGTCTGGCCTCGGTGAGTGTCACCACTTCCCGCTGACGGCAGATACAACGAGGCGGTCAAGGAAGCGCTCAAGACACGGCAGGCAGAAGTCGTCGAAATGTACCAGCCGATGACGGATCACATGCGCGAGTGCCAAGACGCCATCACAGAATGCATGGAGGCCATGCTCGTCGAGCTGAAACGCGACCACTCGCTCAACCTCGACCTCGAGGATTTGACGGTGCGCAACGCCCAGTTCAAGAACTTTGACACGATCGTCTTCATGCGCCTGCGGCCGGTGTGGCACAAGGTCGGCATGAAGACCAAGATCCACGTGCAAGCGCTGGCCGAGCTGCGAGATCTGCAGACGTGAGTTGCAGCATACTGTTTCAAAGCTAACCTCAGGTGGTTGTTGGAGTACGACTCGGCGACGTTTGCAGCGTATATCAACACGTTGCAACGGCAACACTTTCTCGCTCAGAAAAAGACTACGGGGCCAGGGCAGTATCTGCACGACTGGTTCAACGCCAGCGCCGCAGCTCAGCTTGTGCAGGCTTCCCAACTGCGAGTTTCGAGGCCAAAAGTGACCATGGTCGGCACCACGCCTTCCCCGCTTCTCGATGGCCAGTGGCGTCCACCAGACGCTGGCGTGACCAACGGGCAAGAGACGCGCGACGAGTTCGAGGAGGACATGGAAGCGGTGCGCGAGCTTGAGCAACGCCGCGACCTCCCAATGGGAGGGCATCCGACGACAGAGGAAGACGGAGACGAGGTGATGTACGAGCTCGCGACACAGGTCGAGACGATCCCGCAGAACGCGGCGGGCCGCTCGGCCGCAGACGACGACGAGGACGACCTCCGCGAAGCGGATCCGAGCTGCCCGCCCGTGTTCCGGCCAATCGTGTTGAGCGTGAACGCCGACCTCGAGTCGCGCGTACAAAGCCGCTTGCGGAAGGGACACGAAGCGGTGCTGGAAGAACAGCCGAAGTGGGCGCTGCTCGCCCGAGTCTTGAAGGAGATCGAGGATACGATTGCACGCGTTTCAGACTCACACGCCGGTGCGTGATGCCGTTTGCCGCGCTGACCCCAGACCAACCTGGCACCAACACGGTGCTGGTGATGTGCTCGTCGGACCGCACGTGCCTCCAGCTCCGGCAGTACCTCACCACCATGGAGGCGACGGATCCGCCCTTTTCGGCTGGCGCGGGGAAGAAGATGATGCAGACGCTCTTCCTCAGCAACTGGCAGCACGAGAAGAACGGGCAGCGCCTCGTGAATCCGGCGCGGTACACCAACGGTGCCGGGGCGGACCAGGTGTCGACATCTAAAGGGATGGAGCAGCGCATGGGCGAGGCCAAGCGGCGAGGCGCGCCATCCTTCAAGCGGCGTCGGATGCGTGCTGGTGCGCCGGCACGGGGCAGTCGTGAGCCAAGCATCAAGGAGTCTACGATGCGCGAGCTGTCCGCGTTCGAAGGCGGCGACGTGGACATGGAGGAGCAGCAGATGCAGTGGGCGATCGGGCAGTGAGTCCGCGTCTTCCGCTGCGAGCGGGTAGGGTGTGCTGACGGATAGGAGCTTGCGGCAGGAGGACGACGAGATGGTAGAGGTGCAGCCATCAGACGTTTTGCGATCTCGCCCAGCCGCGCCACCGCCTGCTGCCGCGTCGGCGTCGACTAGCTTGTTAGCTAGCGCTGGTGTGCTGGAAGAAGAGGACCTCGAGCCTCGGTGGCGCGACTGGCTCGATCAACAAGGCCTTCTGGAGGACTGGGACGCAGAGTACGGTCTCTTGGCGCCTGAGGACAGCATCATAATCCGCCCTTATGGGGGCGAGGACGACGACATTTTGCTGCAGGAACTCCGGCCGCGCTTTGTCGTCATGTACGAGCCGAACCTGCCTTTCATCCGGCGTCTCGAGGTCTACAAGAACTGCAACCCCGGCCTGGCGCTGCGCGTATACCAGATGACCTACACCAACTCGTTCGAGGAGGATCGATACCTTGCGACGATGCAGCGCGAGGCGGATGCGTTCAAGAAGCTCATCGAGGATCGCGGGGTACGTTGGCGTCGAGTAACGCTGATTGCAGGGTATGGTGATCCCCATCTTCAATAACAACCCGCGCGCGCCGATGCGGGACAACGTCGCGCGCTCCAGGACGACATACTCTACGCGTAACGCGGGTGGAGGAGAGGATGCGCACGAATCTAGAGTGAGTAGTAAACATGGGTCCGAGCTGACGCCAGATCATTGTCGATATCCGCGAGCTGGGTGCGCTTCTGCCGTCGCTGATCGACGCTGCAGGGATCGTAGTCGTGCCCGCCACTCTCACTGTGGGCGACTACATTCTGTCACCCAAGATGTGCGTGGAGCGCAAGGCGCTTCCAGACCTGGAGCAGAGTTTGGCAAATGGGCGACTGCATACGCAGTGCGAAGCAATGAGCGCGCACTACGAGATCTGCATCCTGCTGATCGAGTTTGAGGAGGGCAAGTTTGGGATGCGCGTAAGTCTTTTTTCCCGCGCGATAGTGCCTTGGGGATACGTGGACGCGTGAGGCTGATAAACACAGACCAAGGAAGATGCGCGGCGCGAGTCTGCCGGACGGGGAACGACAGAAGACGACGGGTGGCAGGACACGTTCTACCTGCAATCGAAACTCGTTTTGCTGGCATTACACTTTCCGCGGCTGCGGATCGTGTGGTCGTCGTCTCCGCACGAGTCTGTCAAGATTCTCTCTGACCTCAAGCTGAACCACGACGAGCCGGACGAGGAGACGGCGATTATGAAGGGGTCGACTGCGGACGATGCCGACGCGCTGGCGCCGCACGTGGAGAATGCGGCGGCGGTGGAGATGCTGCGGGCGATCCCTGGGGTGTCTGGGCACAATGTGCGGCACGTGATGGCGGGCGTGAAGACGGTGCGCGAGTTTGTCGAGTTGAGCGAGGACGCGTTGAAGCGGATTCTGGGGGATGAGAATGGGGCCAAGGCGTATCGGTTTGTGCACCGGGATGGGCGGGGGCGGGGGCGGGGGCGGTGAGAGGTGTGAGTGGAGAGGTTAGAGAGCAGAGCGAGGCGTATCAAGCTACGACGGGATGGGAGGATGAACAAGATGTGCATAAGAACATTTGATTGCGATTTGAAGAGGGTTGTATTGAAATTGGGGGGAGTCGGCTACTCCCGGTCTAGTATGGACTGTGATTGGCCAAGGACAGACCACATGACCCACGAGAGTCTCGAGGGGAGATTGGAATACAAGTGGGGAACCGCGGGGCAAGGCCAAGGGACCCTTAAAGAGCCCCCTCGTAGCTCGTCAGCGGCTGCTGCGATCAGAGAGCATACGACGACAGAGTGCTTGACTACTATCCTAATGGGACTAATTGGACTATTGTATTGGATTTGAGTGGGCTATCATCCTCCCCGCCCTCGCTCGCTTACATCCCTCCCTCCTCCTCTTCTCTCTCTCTCTCTCTCTCATCGTCGCTTCTCCCATCCTCCTCGCTGCATCAAACAGCATCCTCATCACTGTCTTACTCCTACTCTCTCGCTGTCTCTCCCTCTCTACTCCCCCCTCCTCCCTCCCTCCCCCCCC